TGAAGGATTTCACTGTTACTCGAAAATCACGTCCATACATTACCCCTACGATCAAAGAGATGATCAAATTAAAGCAAAAAGCTTACCAAAAGTTTTCGCGTACTGGTAGTAGCAACCACAGAAGGTACTATACCGATATCAGAAACTATGTCACTTTGGCAATACGTAACGAAAAGAAAGCTTTTTTTGAGGCAGAGATAAATAGTAACGTCAATAATCCCTCAAAATTGTGGCACTTACTGCACACCAATCAGGTGCACTCAAAGAACACCAAGACAATCGACGAATCACTTAAAGATCCAGAGCTAATAAATGATTATTTCGCTAATATTATTCCTTCACCTTTTTTGTCGTTGCACAACCTTGATTCTAATAAACCATATATTTTGGGTGGCAACGACTGTTTTGGTTTCGATGTGGTGAACGACACAGACATCAAAAATAAGCTTAGCACGATAAAATCAAATGCTTGTGGTTTGGATGCAATCGATCTGAAAATGATAAAACTTGTATTGGAGTACTGCCTCCAAGAAATCACTCACATAATGAACTTCTCACTAATATACGGAGTTTATCCGAAACAATGGAAGATCGCTCTAGTAACACCTCTACCTAAAGTGAGCCATGCTACGTCACTAGGAGACCTACGACCGATTAGTGTGTTACCTATCTTATCTAAAATATTAGAGAAGATTGTTGCTTCACAGCTAGTACATCACCTGAATCATACTAATTTACTCCCACGATGCCAATCTGGATTTCGGGAGAAGTATAGCACAACGACCGCGTTAACTAAAATTGTGAACGATTGGTGCTGTGCCATTGATGCCTCAAGAGTTACCTTCGTTGTATTCCTGGACTTTAGTAAGGCTTTTGATATCATCAATCATCAGCTTCTAATAGCCAAGCTAGTCCGTTATGGATGTAAAGAAGACGTTGTACATTGGTTCCAGTCATATCTTGTGAACAGATCTCAACATACAAAGATTAATGGTAATATATCTAGCGGTATCCTAGTCAAGCAAGGTGTTCCACAGGGAAGTGTTTTGGGTCCTATATTATTCAACTTATTTACGGCAGACATGCCAAATGTAGTGACGAGCTGTTCGGTTCATCAATACGCGGATGATGCGCAGATTTACATCTCTTGTGATATTATCAGTGTTGATGACACGGTGCGCTTGCTTAACTCTGATTTAAAGAATATTTGTGAGTGGTGTTCTGTTAACGGGTTAATTCTTAACGCGAAAAAAACTATATGTATGTGTGTCGGGTCGGCCAACATTCGCAGAAGAGCAATCGATAATTTATCGGTTCCTATACACCTCAATGGAACTGTCTTAGCGTTCTCTGAATCGACCAACAACTTAGGTCTTACTGTCGACAGTAATCTTAATTTTGCGGAACATGTAAATAAGAAAATTGGTGTGTGCTACTATAAGTTAAAATCGTTATATAAATTTAAGTCATTGTTGTCACCACAATTGAAATGGAGACTTGTTAACTCCTTAATTCTAAGTCAACTTGATTACTGTAGTAACGTTTACTACAATTTTCTATCAGCTACTTTAAAAAATCGTATTCAAATACTTCAGAACAGCGGACTTAGGTTTTCATACTCGATTGATCGTAGAGAACATGTTACCCCCTATTACATAAGATATTCTATCTTAAAAATGGAACCTAGATGTACACTCTTGCTAGCTGTTATGTTATACAATGTAATATTTTACAAATTGCCTTATTATTTATATTGTATCTTAGTACCAAGATCGCAAATACATAATGTTAATCTAAGACAAACGAAGTTGTTGACGATTCCCAAACATAAATCTGCTAAATTTTGTGGTAGCTTTGCGTACAGAGCACCTACAATTTATAATTGCTTTTCAGATGTTTTTCAGTTGAAATCTAATAGATCTTTTAAATGCACCTTGAAGCGCAGGCTTCTTGAGGAACAAGAATCAAAATGTTAAGTTTAATTATTTTTATTTATAATTATTTTTATTTTTATTTTGTTGGTTATTACTTTGATATATATGTATTTATTTTTGGTTTTCTAGTTTTCTAGTAATCAGCTATGCTGTACCCTATATATACAGTGCGCGGCAAAATTATTCAATAAATTGATAACAAATTTTTTTTTGCAAAAATGCCGAAACGGGTCAATTTTGGTTAATCATAACACACATTATGACACCATATTCACTTCCTGATAATCATTTTTTTATGAGTTATGACGTCATCGACATTTTTTTTAAATGGCACCATATGCATTTGTTTGCAGAATCTGAAAGGATATTTTTTTCTGCGACCAACGATGTAAATATCGATATGGGTTACGTAAGGAAAATTTTGAGAAAATTAGCTTTAAAGGTACAAATTTTATTTCTTTTTGTGAACGTAAAAATAGCCTTACCCATGGGTAACCATGGAAACGCTTTGTTTGGTTTTAATAATGTCTATTCAAAAAAGGCAAAATTAGTTTAGTGAGTGTTTAATTTGAATTGAAACAATTTTTATAGCGATTAATTCGTGTATTTTTGGATTGCTTTTTGTGTTGTAATTGTTTGTTTGTATTTTTTTTTCTGTTTTATGTTGTTTAGTTTTGTATTAGTTATTTTACAAATTTTATTTCTTTTCGAACAAAAATATAGTATTACCCTTGTGTAACCATGTACGTTGTCATGGTTCTTTAATTTTTTATTCTGTATTAAAAAACACTAATAATTTAAGTTTTAATGTGCAAGGTTTTAAGTTTTAATATTTAAAGTTATTTAATGTCCGTAGAATATGAATTATGTTATAAAAAAGAAATAAATTCTGATTCTAATCATTTAATCAATTGTTCAAAATGCCCTCCACCCACTTCTTGACAATAAGCAAACCTATTCATACATTCTTTCAAAGTATTATAAATAAATTGCGGACTAATATTACGAATTTCAGCGCTAATACAATTTTTTAATGCGTCTACATTGTGTGGTTTCTCAGCATACACTTTTGATTTTAGATAACCCCATAGAAAAAAATCAAGGGGTGTAAGATCTGGGGATCTGGGGGGCCATTCTATCGGCCCGCGTCTGCCAATCCACCGCTCAGGGAAACTATTATTCAAAAATTCGCGAACAGGATGTGCAAAGTGCGGAGGTGCACCATCCTGCTGAAACCAAATATTGTCGTCCAGTAAGTTGGGGTTATTATTATTTGGGAATGCTTCTAAAATGACAGGCATCAGTTCATTCCTCAAAAACTCCAGATATCGTTGACCTGTCAGAATTTGTTCAAAGAAGAAAGGGCCAATGATTTTATTGTGAATTATGCCTGCTCATACATTCACTTTTTGAGGGTATTGGGTATGTACCTCGCTTATCCAATGAGGATTTTCGTTACTCCAGTATCTGCAATTTTGTCGGTTTACTGTGCCATTCAGGCAAAATGTAGCTTCATCCGAAAATAAAACGTTGTAAATAAAGAGTGGATTACGGTCACATCGATTCTGCATAATTTCACAGAATTCCATGCGGCGATCTGTGTCATCTTCATTGAGTTCTTGCACTAACTGCACTTTGTAGGGATGGTACATCTCTGCTCGTAGCACACGTAGTACAGATCGCTGAGAAACTTGATGATCCGCTGCAATTTGTCTCGAATTACTATGGGCATCATCTTCAACAGCTAACAAAATATTAAGTTTCACATTTTCGTTGATTTTAGAACGTCCAGCATGTGCAATGTGCTTAACATGTCCAGTTTCTCTAAATTTCCTGTCAATTTTGCTAACTGTTGATCTACTAATAACTCTGTCAGGGTACTTTGCATTAAACAAATTGCATATCTCTTGTTGTGTTCGGGTTTTATCTCCACATCCAATAAGAATTAAAATTTCTATGCGTTGGGTTTCACTTAAATGAGCCATAATTATTTTAGAATAAATACGTAACAACAAATGCTCAAAAATAAAAACAAAACAGTAACAAATATTGAACAAAACTGGACTAATGAACACAGAACACTGTAAAAAATAACAACAAATAACAATCTCAATCAGAATATAACGCAAAATAACTAATACAAAACTAAACAACATAAAACAGAAAAAAAATACAAACAAACAATTACAACACAGAAAACAATGCAAAAATACAGGAATTAATCGCTATAAAAATTGTTTCAATTCAATTAAACACTCACAAAACTAATTTTGACGTTTTTGAATAGACATTATTAAAACCAAACAAAGCGTTTCCATGGTTACCCATGGGTAAGGCTATTTTTACGTTCAGAAAAAAAATAAAATTTGTACCTTTAAAGCTAATTTTCTCAAAATTTTCCTTATGTAACCCATATCGATATTTACATCGTTAGTCGCAGAGAAATATATACTTTCAGATTTTGTAAACAAATGCATATGGTGCCATTTAAAAAAAATGTCGATGACGTCATAACTCATAAAAAAATGATTATCAGGAAGTGAATATGGTGTCATAATGTGTGTTATGATTAACCAAAATTGACCCGTTTCGGCATTTTTGCAAAAAAAAATTTGTTATCAATTTATTGAATATGTTCCATAATNGAACCCTCTAGTACATACCTATTTCTCTACATTGTCAAAATTTATTTTATTTTTGTTAAAAAAAAGGATAAAAACGCGAATTACAAAAAATAGCATAAAAAACACGTTTCATAAGACTTAAAGCACTCATTCATTAAAAATCCAACTTGAATTCGTGCGTTTCAAGCGTGTCTTACGAAACTTGTTTTTTAATATACTATTGTATTCTTTATATGTTGTGGTGCTAATAAAGAAATAAATAAATAAGTACACGTAAATTTTACGTACAGTCGTGTTTTTTGGACGAAAAACTTATACTGTACTTGTCAAAACGACAACTAACGTTTAAAAGCAAGACAGCCTAAAAAAAAATTTTAAAAAAAAATCGATATTGGACACTTATTTCTGGACAGAGGGAGTAATTAATAATAAAATTAATTACCTTCTTCTAATCTCGATTCCTCCTTCCTCATTTGAACCACAATCATATTACTTAAACTTTTATATTCTTCAAAGCTCAAAATTAACTTCCGTTTAACTTGCGTATCTTCGTTAACACTTTCATTTTGGTTGTTTGGTTCTTCTTCCCCGCCCATCGGTTCGTTTTGTTCGTCATCCAAATGAATATCGGGTTGCTCAACGCGAATAATCGATTTATTTAGCAATCTATAAGCTTCTTTAACATGTTTTGACTGAACTTGATCCGAAATTTCCATCCTTGCCATAGCTTCGGCTAATCGAATCATACTTTCTAATTGTCTCACTGTAATCCTCCACGTTGATTTTCCCGTCGTTGTTGAATCCCTCAATCTTAATTTATGATAAAATCTAACCAATAATTCGCCGGCTTCTTCGTTAATGACCGGTTTAAATTTCCTTGCGAACGTGATGTATTGAAGAACTTCTTCTTTACTATAAACTTTCTCAACGATTTGTTCAACGTTACTGTGTAAATCAACGATTTTTCTTGCAATGGCGTAATCGACTAATTCGTTGCATTCATCAACGAGAATAAAAAATAAATCGAAACGAGACATAATCGGTGCGCTTAAAGCGATGTTTTGTTGGAGTGATTTAGCTCGATCATATCGACCCCCAATTGGATTAGCGGCCGCTAAAATTGAGGTTCTCGCGTTTAAAGTGGCTCGAACGCCTGCTTTTGCCAAAGAAATCGTTTGTTGTTCCATCGCTTCGTGAATAGCAACTTGATCCCTTGGATCCATTTTGTCGAATTCATCGATACAACAAACTCCGTTATCGGCCAACATTAAAGCACCCGCTTCTATTACGAAATCGCCGGTTTCTTCGTCTCGAACAACCGCAGCTGTTAAACCGGCCGCGGATGAAGCTTTCCCCGATGTATAAACAGCCCTTGGAGAAAATTCCGAGACTTGTTTTAAAAATTGCGATTTTGCCGTGCTTGGGTCCCCGACGATACAACAATTTATATCGCCTCTTAACGTTGTTAATTCAATGGTTGTTTTCGCAACACCTCCAAATAACATTAAAAGAATCCCCCGTTTTACTTCATCGTTACCGTGAATACTCGGAAATAAACTGCTTATTAAATTTGAGTACAAATTCTTATCATGGGACATATCATAAAGGTGCTTCCATTCCCCCTCGGTCATTTGTTGTTTTAAATCTTCCGGTGTAACATCTTCTAAAGGCATTTCAACTCCCCCAAAACGCGGATTCGTCGGTTGAACACTACACGCTAAAAAAGCCATCCGATAATGTAAATCCCTCACACCCAAAGCTTTTAACCCTCGAATTCCCTCAGAATCATCCCCTTTTTTATGCCGCGAATTCATTTGGGTCTTAGCTCCAGGTAAAGACAACGCCCCAACATCAGGAACAACAATTAAAGTTCCAGTAAAATCGTATCGATCACCCGCTTGAACGGTTTCAACGTTTTCGGCGCGCAAAATCACCTCAACACTCCGCGGGATACAACCTCGAGGTAATTCGGCTTGAGTTTCTTGAATCCGCACTTTTTGAAAATCGATAAAAAGCGATTTGTCGACATCTAAAAGAAATCGCCGTCGATTATTACAAACCGGGTTACGACAAATTGTTGGATTTGTAAATTTAAATTGTTGCTCAACGTTTTTTATCACAGTTTGGCAATCCAAACAGATGAATGTTCCGGAAATTAATTCGGGATGAACCGGGTGCGTACGAATAACTTGACCGGAAATACGAACCAAAGTGCCAATTTTATCCGTTTTTAATTCGCGGACTTTTTGGCGAGTTGGAACATCGGTGAAACTAACGTAACATTCTTTTTCTTTTTTAAGATCGCTGTGATCTTTTACAAAATTTGAAACTGCTTGGCAAAGAAAGGGGAAGATCCTAAAATATTCTTCGATTATCGTTGTTGCTAAATCTTGGTTGTAACGTTCTGTATCTTCAAAATTAATCTCTAAAGTGCTTCGTTCTTGGTGGAGGAGTTCCATGGCTGGGTTTAAATATTTTACTTTCCCATATTCTTGATACCTTTATTTAAATTAATTAATTCATTCATTAATGGTTCTTTTTTACTTACTCTTCAAGAAAATCTTGAAATAACTTTTGTGTTCGAATTCCCACCTCATCTCGAACACGCGCTTGTCCTAGTTGAACATCCGCAACATCCATTTCTTTACAAAAACAGCTTTATAATCTTTATAATAAAGTAACAACTTATAAACGTATTCGGTTCGACACTTTCCCGCTTCAAATTGTAACATAACCTCACTTAACCAAACGTCAAAATAAAATTTATTATTTATTTATTTTATATAGTTTATTTATTAAAATATCTGATTTTAATGAATCTGTAATTTGATATTAAACGATAAATAGGGATTGCAACAATTACATAAATTTATTATACTTACTTTTATTGTTTTTTATTAAAAAATTTTAAGTTGGTATCTATTAAACATAAAAATGATACTCTCAAAAAAATCTCGTTATAAAACATTAAATAAAACTAATTTTTGATTAAAATGGACTTTCAAGATTTAACAAACGATTAATACAAGAAAAATTAAATAATTTTCACTTAAGTGTTAATGACTTAGAAGAACTTATCAATAAGACTAAACAAATTCAACATTGAAGATCTATCATTTAAGGAATCGAAGAAATAATATTAGACACGTTAAAACTAGATTAAATTTGCTTCAAAATGATTTTTATCTCATCTCCATATCTTTGTTACTTTATAATATATGATGTTCTCAATTACTATCATTTTGAATACATAGTTAAAGAAGCAGAGTTGGATTAAAAAAACTCAAAGCTACGAGATGTATGGAATTGAAGAAATAAAATTAGGCACGTTAAAACTAGATTAAATTTGCTTCAAAATGATTTTTATCTCATCTTCATATCTTTGCGATATATGATGTTCTTAATTACCATCATTTTGAACAAATTGTTAAAGAAACAGAGTTAGATTCAAAAGCTCAAAGCTACGACATTTATGGAAGCGAAGAAATGATATGAAGCTCATTAAAACTAGATTACATTTGCTTCAAAACGGTTTTTATCTGATTCTGATATCTTTGTTACTTTATGAGATATGATATTTTCAATTTCCATCGTTTTATATAAATGTTTAATGAAGCAGAATTAGATTAAAAAGTTCAAAGCTACGAGATTTAAGGAATCGAAGAAATAATATTAGGCACGTTAAAACTAGATTAAATTTGCTTCAAAATGATTTTTATCTCATCTCTATATCTTTGTTACTTTATGACATATGATGTTCTTAATTACCATCTTTTTGAATAAATAATTAAAGAAGCAAAGTTGAATTAAAAAGCTCAAAGCTACAAGATTTATGGAATCGAAGAAATAATATTAGGCATGCTAAAACTAGATTAAATTTGCTTTAAAATGGTTTTTATCTCATCTTCATATCTTTGTTACTTTATGATATATGATGTTCTTAATTACCATCATTTTGAATAAATAATTAAGGAAACAGAGTTAGATTAAAAAGCTCAAAGCTACGAAATTAATGGAATAGAAGAAATAATATTAGGCACGTTAAAACTAGATTAAATTTGCTTCAAAATGATTTTTATCTCGTCTTCATATCTTTGTTACTTTATGACATATGATGTTCTTAATTACCATCATTTTGAATAGATAATTAAAGAAGCAAAGTTGGATTAAAAAAGCTCAAAGCTACAAGATTTATGGAATCGAAGAAATAATATTAGGCACGTTAAAACTAGATTAAATTTGCTTCAAAATGATTTTTATCTAATCTCTATATCTTTGTTACTTTATGACATATGATGTTCTTAATTACCATCATTTTGAATAAATAATTAAAGAAGCAAAGTTGGATTAAAAAGCTCAAAGCTACAAGATTTATGGAATCGAAGAAATAATATTAGGCACGCTAAAACTAGATTAAATTTGCTTCAAAATGATCTTTATCTCATCTTCATATCTTTGTTACTTTATGATATATGATGTTCTTAATTGCCATCATTTTGAATAAATAATTAAGGAAACAGAGTTAGATTAAAAAGCTCAAAGCTACGAGATTTATGGAATCGAAGAAATAATATTAAGCAAGTTATAACTAGATTAAATTTGTTTCAAAATGTTTTTTATCTCATTCTGATATCTTTGTTACTTTATGATATATGATGTTCTTAATTACCATCATTTTGAATTAATTATTAAAGAAACAGATTTGGATTAAAAAGCTCAAAACTACGATATTTATTCAATCGAAGAAATAATATTAGGCACGTTAAAACTAGATTAAATTTGCTTCAAAATGATTTTTATCTCATCTCTATATCTTTGTTACTTTATGGCATATGATGTTCTTAATTACCATAATTTTGAATAAATAATTCAAGAAGCAAAGTTGGATTAAAAAGCTCAAAGCTACAAGATTTATGGAATCGAAAAAATAATATTAGGCATGCTAAAACTAGATTAAATTTGCTTCAAAATGATTTTTATCTCATCTTCATATCTTTGTTACTTTATGATATATGATGTTCTTAATTGCCATCATTTTGAATAAATAATTAAGGAAACAGAGTTAGATTAAAAAGCTCAAAGCTACGAGATTAATGGAATCGAAGAAATAATATTAAGCACGTTAAAATTAGATTAAATTTGCTTCAAAATGTTTTTTTATCTCATTTTGATATCTTTGTTACTTTATGAGATATAATATTATTTTCAATTTCCATCGTTTTAAATAAAAGTTTAATGAAGCAGGATTAGATTAAAAAGCTCAAAGCTACGAGATTTATGGAATCGAAGAAATAATATTAGGCACGTTAAAACTAGATTAAATTTGCTTCAAAACGATTTTTATCTCATCTTCATATCTTTGTTACTTTATGATATATGATCTTCTCATATATAGCGCTTGTCCTAATTAAACAACATCCATTTCGTTACAAAAACAGCTTTATTATAAAGTAATAAGTTAAAAATATATTCGATTCGATATTTTCCCGCCTCAAATTGTAACATAACCTCACTTAACCAAACGTCAAAATAAAATTTATTATTTATTTTATATACTTTATTTATTAAAATATCCGATTTTAATTAATCGGTAATTTGATATTAAACGATAAATAGTGATTGTAACAATTACATAAATTTATTATACTTACTTTTATTATTTTTATTTTTAAAAAAAATTTAAAGTTGGTACCCATTAAACATAAAAAAAGATAACATAACCTCAAAAAGAAAATCTCGTGTAATGTGTAAAACATGAAATAAAAGTAATTTTTGATTAAAATGGACTTTGAAGATTTAAAAGACGATCCAGTAATACAAGAGAAATTAAATAACTTCCACTTAAGTGTTAATGATTTAGAAGAACTTATCAATAAGACTTTAAACGATTTCAACGTTGAAGATCTATCAATTAAGGATAAAATAAATTACGATTTATTCGTTGCGTATTTATTGAATACATGCTATTGGATGTATTTGAGAACAAAGGGGCTTGAAACTGAGGAAGTTAAATTAGAACTCGGACGAATTAAAGAGTACATGCTTAAAGCTAAACAAGCGGTTGAAAGAAAAACAATTCGTCCGGTATTAAATAAGCCGGTCGCTGAGAGATTTGTAAAGCATGGTATTAATTATTCGAAGAAGAACGCTGTAGAAGGATCCAAAAAGCGCAAAAGAAATTAATTAAAATGTCCGATAAAGTTATAATTGAAAGATTTTTTATTAAAACAAACGTTAACGCTATTAAAGTTTTAAAAAATGTGATTTTAATCGGTACCGGGGGATTTTTGATTATTTATAACCGTAATTATGAAAAAGTTGTATCAAAAACTTTTATTTTTGATGAAACAATAACCGGGATTGATTTTGATGATGATCAAATTTTAATTTACGCTGAGAATGTTCTTGGGGCATTTAAATTAAAAGGAAATTCCGAAATTGTTGAGTTAAATCGTTTCTATTACAACGATTGGATCCTCACATCAAAATTTATTGAAAATGGGATTGTTTTTGTTTCAATCCATAGTGAGGCAATAAATTTAGATCGAAATTTGAATGTTTTAACCATATCCAAATCAACGGAAATTTGTACTTGTTATTGTGCTCATATTATCAACAAAAAATGGGATGATTTATTTGTTTTAAGTGGAACGGCGTTTAGCGAAATTTTTATTTGGATGCCTTCAATGAAAAACAAAGATAAATGTCAAGTTTTATATAAAATCGTAGGTCATAAAGGTGTTATTTTTTCTATTGATTACTCAGAAAAATTGGGGTTAATTTGTTCGACTTCTGATGATGGGAAGGCAATGATTTGGAATGCCAAAGATTTTTTTATTAATAACAACACAAAAAATGAAATAAAATGTGTTAAAGAACTTCAACATCAACAAAGAGTGTTTAAAGGAAAATTTTTTAATAGTCACTTAATAACAACCCTCGAAGATAGTACAATTAAGATTTGGGACTCAAATTTTAAAAATAAAACGAGTTCTCATCAAATTGGCCCAATTTGGAGCTTAGATTTTTGTGGTGAAAAGAATTTAGTGTTTACCGGTGGTGCGGATGGTGGGGTTATATCGACCCCAATAAATCTTGAATTAGATTTGAATAAATCAAACAAAATTTTTAGTGTTAACAACAAAAATCGATATAAAGATTTCGTTGTTTTAAACCACAAAATCGGAGTTGGGATAACAAACATTGGTGAATTTAATTTAATTAATACTCACGATTTAATTGAAAAGCATGATGATTTAAATTCTTATTGTTTAATTAGAAAATCGCCTTGTAAACAATTAATTTGTTTGGCTGGAATGCATGGGAATCTTCATTTATATCAATTAAAAGATGATAAAATCATTTACAAGATTTCTTGTAACATTAAACATAACCCCAAAATTTTTTCATTGCATTGGTTATCATGTAAATCGTTTTTGGTGTGTTTAAACGATGGGGTTTTAATTTTATGGTATTTTAATAATAAGGAGTTAATTCCAATGCAATTTTTTCAACTCCCCCCAATGAAAGAGAGGTGGTCAACATCTGCAACGTTTTGTGGGGATAATTTAATCGTTGGAGATCGGAAAGGAAATTTGTGCATATTTGGGATGGAAAGTGGACATCTTAAAGAAGTTTTGAAGAAAATTCAACCTAATGGGGTTACTCAGTTATATTTTAATCAACAAAAAGAAGAATTAATTGTTTTAGGTAAAAAAAAAATAACCTCAAAATTTTTATTAACTCCAAAATTTTTATTAATCTCAAAATTTTTGTTAGGTATAATTCAAGAATCATTATGTCGCTTAATAATCGACAATTTTTTTTAATCGCCCCTAAATCACTTAAGTAAACTGTTACAAATAAAAAGAAGTGCGGAAAAATGTAAAACTTATCAAAAAAAATCACAAGTTTCGACGTGACGTCATCGATCGTGCTAACCATATACAGCGTGTCCCACGACGCGATTGCTATAGCTTGGGAGTGTGTTGCTGGGATGATTTCAAGTAAAAAACGCAATCGTAACCGAGCTACAAGCTGTTAATTTTGTTATTATTAAAAAGGCCAGGTGGCTGTGAATGATAATTTGTTATTTATTGTGACAGTAGACATGCAGTGGACGGCAATTAAATTAATTTTGCGTGCTTAATTTCGTGTGGTACATTAAAATACTCTTAAAGGTATGTTTCGGGTATGTCCGGCTTGGAAATTAGTCAAACAAGAAACGGGAAAGTCTAGAAAAACACCAGTAGAGTACCCAGAGCTGAATGTTGAAGATTTAAAACTTTTCTTCTCTGGTTGAGACTACACCAAGACGCTCTACAGACAACTGCATAGATCCTATCAGCTTGATAGATTCGCCAACTTCAAGTATGGTATCCCTGGGTGAAGTGGACGAACAGCAGATTGGGAATATAATACAAGGCCTAAAGGCAAAAAATACCAAGGACATATATGAACTGTCATCAGCACTAATAAAACAATTAGAACAAATTATAAGCAAACACCTATGTTTTGTTATAAACAAATGTCTACTAGAAGGAGTTTTTCCAAAGGAGCTAAAGTCGGCAAAGATAACACCAGAACATAAGAAGGGAGATAAAAGTGTATGTAGTAATTACAGACCAATATCTATATTGCCTACCTTATCAAAAATATTCGAAATAGTGGTTAACGAAAAATTGGTAGACTATTTCAACAATAACAAATTGTTTACCAATTGTCAACATGGTTACCAAAAACAAAAATCTGTTATAACTGCTCTATTAAGTATATCATGGTTTCAATCAAGAACAGTTCACCCAAATCGCCTTTTGTGACTTAAGTAAAGCCTTCGATTCAGTGGACCATTCGATACTGACAGCCAAATTAGAAAAATATGGAATAAAGAACACTGCACTGGGGTTTTTGGTATCATATCTGAAGACTAGAAAACAATCGGTCTTTTGGAGGGGCAAACAATCCACCTGGAGAGAAGTGAGAAGTGGAGTGCCTCAGGGTTCGATCTTGGGTCCATTACTTTTCCTTATATATATCAATGACTTACCAAGTAGTGTTCCAGCAGAACGAATTTGTCTTTATGCAGATGACACATCTTTTATTACGAGAAGTGACGACATCAAGGAGCTGGAAGAAAAAACAAAACAAAATATAGAAAAAGCTGAGCATTGGTTCTACATAAATAAGTTAAAGATGAATAAAGAAAAAACAAACATACTTACCTTTCACACAAGACTATGCGATGAAGTGATAGATAAATCCATAAAGTTCCTTGGAGTTACTATTTCAGAAACTCTTAAATGGTCCAAACACATATCAAACCTGAAAGGGCGACTGTCTAGTGCTCTGTATTGCCTTAAAACAATACGTTCAAACCTTCCACCCGAGACATTCCGAAGCGTATACTTCGCATATTTCCATGCTATCGCGACGTATGGGATCATTACGTGATATTCATTTTGTTTATGGATTGTGTAATGGACCAGCGGCAGTTGATGAATATCGTCGACGATTTCCCACTCATAGAGTGTCTTGTAGAACTGTTTTTAGCAATGTCCATCGATGTTTAAGAGAGACAGGAAAGTTTCCTACAGCTATTTCTGAACGTCCCTGATGCTCAACCTTCTACTAGTGTTCGAAGAATAGCCAACACACTTAACATAGCCCGGATGAGAGTATGGAGAACTTTACACAATTTCGATTTGTACCCGTACCACATCTTACCTGTACAAGCTTTAAAACCTGCCGACTACGCTTCAAGACTTGAATTTAGTCGGTGGATATTGAGAAATCAAAGGATTTGTTGGATAATATTATAACACCAGGAATTCACATTGTTGGGCACTTGAAAATCCACGAGAATATCATTTTCAAGATAGATTTTTGGTGAATATTTGGTGTGGCATTATTGATGACCGCCTCATTGGTCCGTTTATAATTGAAGATCGTCTCACGGCCATTAGTTATTTACGTTTCATTAAAAATGCTCTTCCGATATTACTGNGAGGGAAAATCGCGAAAAAATATTAAAATTCTTTCTTAAACATTAGCAAAATGGGGGGAACATGTTGTGCAGTAACAAATTGTGTACGTTTTATGCAAAAAACCTTTTTATTTTCGTGAATAAACTTATATGAGAGATGAATCGCTATTAACACAAAATTAATTCTAAAGTGAAAAACCAAATGTAATGAGCTGCGTACTCTAAGAAAACTTGGCTAGTCAAGAATAGCCCAAGTCAAGAATAGCCCGGATGAGAGTATGGAGAACTTTACACAATTTCGGTTTGTACCACATCTTACCTGTACAAGCTTTAAAACCTGCCGACTACGCTTCAAGACTTGAATTTAGTCGCTGGATATTGAGAAATCAAAGGATTTCTCGGATAATATAATAACACCAGGAATTCACATTGTTGGGCACTTGAAAATCCTCGAGAATATCATTTTCAAGATAGATTTTTGGTGAATATTTGGTGTGGCATTATTGATGACCGCCTCATTGGTCCGTTTATAATTGAAGATCGTCTCACGGCCATTAGTTATTTACGTTTCATTAAAAATGCTCTTCCAATATTACTGGATGATGTTCCTTTTAATGTAAGATAACGAATGTGGATGCAGCACGATGGCGCACCTCCACACTATGGTCGACAAGTAACAGAATTTCTTAATCAAAATTATACAAACTAGGGATTGGAAGGGGTTCAGCAGTTCCTTTGCTAGCAAGGTCACCAGACTTTAATCCCTTAGATTACTTTTTATGGGGAAGACTAAAAAGTTTAGTTTATGCTGAAAATATTGAAAACAGAGAACAATTAGTAGCTAGAATTATGGATGCCGCAGAAACTATTTGTGCTCATACTGAGACTGTTAGCAAAGCTACCACTTCAATTCTAAGAAGAGCTAGACTATGTATACAGCAACTGGGTGGACATTTTGAGCAACTAACTAATTCAATAAAACTGTTTCTTTTTAAATGGTCTACTACTACTTATTTAAAATTTCAAATGTTTGTAGCTCAGTTACGATTGCGTTTTGGGTGTATGTTCATTAGACATTTTTGACTTGAAACCACCCCAAGCTATGGCAGAGACGTCGTGAGACACCTGCATGTATTTTCGCACCACATTTGGTTAAAACGCATATTTTCGGGTGAAATACGGTTGTTTCTTAGGTTTTCGACGCACAACGACTAAAATGTCGTTAAATCTATAAACTAAAAATAACCTAAAATCTATAACTGATGCATGAAATTCCACTTTGAGTTAGGTTGATTAACATTTAAACCAGTGCGAATTTCTCAAATGTCGTATTGGGCATGGAGCAGAGGGTGAATTGTAAATTCCGGGTTGGGTTAGCCATGCGTTTGAAGACGCACGGCTAAACCCGATACTTTCTAGTTCTAGTGTTAGTTCTAGTTTTACACTAGCATTATCATTAGAACTAACACTAGACTTAGGTCCATTACTACCATCTTTTAGTTAAATTTATCTTATAGATAAACCCATGTACTAGCCAATCGTAGCGCCTAAAATAGCCGTAACCGTGGTAATAATCCCCTAGATAGCTTAATTAGAAGATGGTAGTAACGAGCCTTAGAACTATATAGAATTATTGGTGTTTAGCCGTCTTGAGGGACATGCGGCTAAATTCGAATGTTTCTAGTTCTGGGTCTAGTGTTAGTGCTAGTTTTAAATGTATTAAGCGTTAGATTGTGGTATATTTTTATTAAAAGAAAAGTAGAACTAACACTAGACCTAGTACCAGAAACATTCGAGTGTAGCCGTGCGTCTCTTAAGACGGCACTACAGCTCTATGTTGTGTTTTTTATTCCACTAAAACTAGAAGTAACATTAGAACTAGAAAGTCTACTATCAGTGCAGATTACAAAGTTTTTGCCAACTTTTTTGGAGTTGATGATTACATTAGCTACTATATTTTTAGCAGTTATTTCGAGCTGGGACAGTCGTGCAGTACGACCCTAAACTGCTCAGTCATGTTAGAACCTATTTGACATGAAGACTATACATATAATACAAGTCCTCATTTTAATTTTTTCTAAACTTTCTGTGACTTCTTTGTCACATGGAATTTAATGGGATAAATAATAGGATATTAATATAAGAAATAAAAATAAATCATCATTAAACGTTTATTAAAAAGATACAAGATACAATAATATTAAATGTATTCATATTCATGCATTAATCTGTTTTATTTTTGTTTAGTTTATTTTTACGGTTTCTTAGAGCCGGTTGTACAATATACCGATAAACTTCCCGACAGCGTTGTCTGGCCGATAAGTTAGTTTGTACTGTATTACAATGTACGGTTATTTTTATCGGGGAGATTATTGACAGGATAACTTATCGGGTATTCAGAGGTGCCGATAAGGCGATATGTATGGTTACCAAGGTTTTTACATAACAATATTGATAAACGTTGTCTGTCGTGAAAAAGTTTGGTTAGTTTGTTGTTCTGGAAGGAAAAAAATAAACGTACTGCTAATTATACACAATTAGGTGTATATTAGGCAATTAAATATAATTGCCTAATATACACCTATATATTTAATTGCCTAATATACAGGTGTTTCATGAGGAATGGTACGTACGTTAATATGTTATAGATTTGTTCATTTTAAACAGAAATGTTCCTAAAAACATGTGCTCAATTCTCAAAGGTAACTGAAATACAGCTAGTTAATGCATAAACTGATTTATTTAAATGTGTACATAAAATATCGTTGGCGATTAATTGAAATTGTAGAAATTCTAGCTAATATTATAGAAAATAAAAAAACAGATGCACTTGGAAAGAGCATCAAGATATGCACAAGAGAGCATATCTTGTATTTTAGAAAGCGGCATAGCAAAAGAATTGTCAAACTTTTAATTCAACCGGCACGACAAACCGTACATGGGAACAGCTTCGCAGTAAATACGAAACATTAAAAAAAGATGTCAAGCCATTGCCAAATACCGCACTGATGTGATAGGTACTGGTGGAGGTCCATGTGAAGAAAAGTTAAACCCGTTACATGAAAGAACTAGAAATTTGATAAAATTAAGCTGCGATGGAACACCATCACAATTTGACAGTGATTGTTTAGGTTAATTATTTTACCAATTTTATAATATATGTGTTTAACTCTGTTTATGAGAAATGCATGTTTAATCTTAACTATTAATTCTTTTTAATTCTTTCTTTCTTAACTTTTTTTGGTTAACCGCAACCGTCTAAAAAAATCCGTTTCATCTCACTGCGCCATGTGGTTATGTCGTTCTTTAATTTCTTTTTCTTTTACCTAAAAACATTAACTAAAAATTCGTTTTCGGACTCGCTGCTGGTACTAGTATCGTACAAATTAAACATTTTTCGATATTTATTAAAATGCTAATTGCACAATTTATACAATTGTTATTATTGTCAAAATCAGTTCAAATTTCAAAGAAAGACGTTAGCGTTACCAATCTACGGCACAAATGACTAGATATGGGAAAAAAGTACTACCAACCGAGTCTTATTTAGGCGATAGCAATCCTTCCGACAAAAACAATTTGTACAACAGCGAATATCTTTATCCTCCCGATAAGTTTATCGACCGGATAGTTATCAGACAGATTTATCGGTATATTGTACAACCGGCCCTTAATGAAACTATTTAGCACTATTTTAAAAGGTACAATATTAGTAATTAATTTACATTATTTTTTCTTTTTAATTTACCATATAAAACAGACATAGTACAAAATTTGGTATAATATATGCGTTCTTTTTTTTAATTTGAATTCCGCTTTTAATTAGATAATTAAGTTAATAGTTAAGTTATTAATACTTACTTTGTCCCACATAAAGTGCAACATGTCAATACATGTCTGAAGACGCCTGGCTAAACCCGATACTTTCTAGGTCTAATGTTGTAGTTTTACACTATCACTAGAACTAACACAAGACCTAGAACTAGAATCATTCGGGTTTAGCCGTCTTGAGAGATATGCTACTAAAATCGAATGTTTCTAGTTTTCGATCTAGTGTTAGTTCTAGTATTCAGACTAGTAATCAGTCGTTATGCATCGAAAGCCTAAGAACAGCAAGGGTGTTTCATCCGTAAATATACGTCAC